TCTTCACCTCCGTGGTACTCTTTTTGGGCGGACCCAGTGCAGGTCGCGACTGAACTGGATTCTCAATGGCTTCCTTTTTTACTTCTAGCTCCATACGTTGTACGTTAGCTCCGTACATCTTCTTCAATCCTTCCCTCTTCGTAAGCCCGTTCTTGAATCTCTTCCCTTCAATTTCTGCACTCACCTCCGCTTTCCCTATAACGATCTCTTCTCTCTCTCTCTCTCAACTTCAGTCTGCCCTGGCCATCTGCGGTTCTACGGCAGCGGGCTCAGATGACATACATTATGAGATACTTCGTCATCTCCCTCCATGCACGTCTCAGTATTTACCAAGTCTGTATAACCAGGTCTGGGAGTCGTCATCAGTCCCTGAGGACTGACGGCTCGATGCCTTTGTACTCACTATTCGGAAACTGGGGTCTCTAGGCACATCTCCTAAGGGCTTCCACCCTATTGCCCTCACGAGTTGTCTGCAAACTCATTGAACATTAATCAATGTTCGTCTGATGTGGTTCTTGGAACACTAACACTACCTCTCTCCTTCTCAATTTGGTTTCCGCAAGTTCCGCAGCACGGCAGATGTCCTGGTGAACTTGGAGGTCTATATTCATACTGCTTTTTCTGCGAAGACCTCCGTTGTTGCTGTTCTTTTTGACCTGGAAAAGGTCACCATTTGGCGTTATCATATTCTGTCCCAACTTCATTCTTTTGGCCTTGTAATCTCCCGCTCTTCCACCAAAGCTTCCTCTCTCGTCGTTCCTTTAATGTGAGACTTGGTGCTACTCTCTCCCCGCCAAACACACACCAAAATTACGACGTTGGTACAACGTTCGAACAAGTTTTAACACCTCCTACCCAGTTATAACAACCAACATAGCAAGTTGTAACAACGTTCTAATTCGTCATAAATACGTTAAGCCAAGATGTAACAACTTTATTACAACTTGTAACAAGCGGAAAATAGAGACAGTTTAGATTTGTGTTTCCAGGGACTCTGCCTTCTTTCAGCAATACGAAGGTGTACCCCAAGGTAGTGTTCTGAGCACTACTCTTTTTCTGGTTGCCCTCAATGGTCTTCTTTTCTCCCTTCCTTCTGACATCTTCTCCGCTCACTATTTCGACGATCTTGCCCTCTGCTGTCGAGGTGATGACTTGCCTCTCCTTCAACGGCGACTTCAACTTGCGATTGATGCCGTGTCATCTTGGGCCATCAATCATGGCTTCAAGTTCTCTGCGACTAAGAATGGTGCTATGACTTTTACTCGGAAACAAGTCGTTCTTCGTCCCTCTTTGTCGCTTTATGGTCAACCCCTTGTGTACAAAGATTCCTCTAAGCTTTTAGGGTTAATCTTTGACACTCGTCTGTCTTGGTCACTCCATATTTCTTACCTCCGTGTTGAATGCTCTAAGGCCCTTAACCTATTTAAGGTTTTGTCCCATACTTCTTGTCGAGCAGATAGGCGCACGCTCCTCTCTTTACATTCCTCTCTCGTACTGTCTAAACTCAATTATGGTTGCCCTGCTTACTCTTATGCTTCTCCTTCTACTCTTCGCCGTCTTGATGCTTTGCACCATACTGGGTTGCACCTCTGGTGCTTTTCGTTCGACTCCCGCCCTCAGCTTGTATGTTGACACTGGCTTCCTCTCTCTCAAGGACCGCCATGATCGCTACCTTGCGCGGTCCTCACAACTTCCTCACTCTCGCCTCTGTCGTGCTTTGAATTTTGCCCCTCCTGCAGTTCCTGTTCCTCTTCACCACCTCCCTTTGCTGTCCGGTTGTCTCGCCTACAAAATTCACTTGCGGTTCGTATTACCAATATTTCTCATCGTGTTGTTCCGTCCTTGCCCCCGTGGAGGGTCCCCCTTCCTAGATTTTGCAAATCCCTGACCCACATCACTAAAGCTTTACCCCTCCGACAGTTCTGAAACGCCTTTCCCTTGAACACTTTTCTTCACACTCCCGCTCCGTTTCCATCTTCACCGATGGGTCTAAGTCTGTGGACGGTGTGGGCTACTCTGTTGTTTTTCCTGACCGCACTTATATGTGTCGCCTTCCTCCGGAGACCAGCATCTTCACGGCAGAACTTTATGCTATTCTCTATGCTCTTCGTCTACTGCTTTCTTGTTGTCAATCCTCCTTTGTGGTTGTAGTTGACTCTCGCAGTGCCCTCATGACTCTGGAGTCCTTTAATCTAGTCTATCCTGTAGTAGTCAAGATTCAACATTGGCTGCTTCATATCTCCAGTAGATTTAAGACAGTAGAGTTTTGCTGGATTCACAGCCATATTGGTGTCTCTTTAAATGAGCGTGCGGATGCTGCCGCCAGGGAAGCTATCCACACTTGTCCCATCTCCCGTAAAGGTATTCCTTATTCCGACTTTTACCCAGTTGTTCATTCCTCCATCCATGCCCGTTGGCAGAGTTGTTGGTCTTCTGTTACTGGTAACAAACTGCGTACTCTTAAGGGTAGTGTGTCTCTGTCGCCTTCCTTCTACCACGGTAACCGGCGGTGGGAAACGGCTCTGGCGAGGTTGCATATTGGCCATACACGCTTAACTCACGGACAGTTAATGGAGCGCCGCCCTGCTCCTTATTGTCCAAACTGAATTGTCCTTCTTACAGTCGTGCATATTCTTGTTGAATATCTTGACTTCCAGGACGAGCGTGTGTCTTGCTTTCCGACCGTCCCTCGCGGTCCCTTGTTCCTGGATAGAATTCTTGGCGAATCAGATACTTTTTATATCGTCGCCTTATGCGTTTCTGTTCTCGTATTGGCATCCTTAGTGATATTTAGCGCCCTCTGATTATTCCGCACATTTGATGGTGCTACACAGCCTTCCCGGCTTGGTGCCTTCTTGAGATAATTACTTAATTAGGATAGCTCCTTCTGGAACCCCCACTTAGCACGATTCCCCAGTCAGATTCAGTCCCATTTAGCACGACTTTTTGTTTTCTTTCCTGCAACCATTGCTTTATCAATTCTAATATTTTACCATTTATTCCATGGACCTGCAATTTATCCCATGGGCCTGTAATTTATCCCATGTGCCTGTAATTTATCTCATGGGCCAGTAATACCCACGTGACTTCCTGGGTCAGTGCATACACAGCTTAGTGTGAAGGGCAACACATGAAACAGGGCGCAGGTCGGGGACAGTTAGGCAGGGTATATATTGTGACGTGTTGTAGGTAGCGCACCAAAATAAACAAAACTAAAACAAAATAAATCAAGATAAAGTTCTTTACGGTGTGATGGTTGCAGGAGTAAACAATAATTATAAATAATTAAAGACTATACTTATAATAATAAGCATAACAAAATAATAGTTCCTGAAAACCAAATATTTAAGTTACTTTAAAAAGGAAATCACACAAGGGGTGCAGGCGATGAGTCACAATAACGTGGCTGAAGTATGTTGACCAGACCACACACTAGAAATTGAAGGAACGACGACGTTTCGGTCCGTCCTGGACCATTCTCAAGTCGATTGAGAATGGTCCAGGACGGACATTCTCAAGTCGATCGACTTGAGAATGGTCCAGGACGGACCGAAACGTCGTCGTTCCTTCAATTTCTAGTGTGTGGTCTGGTCAACACACAAGGGGTGACTATACTGTATGTACAATATTTTCTTCACCTCGAACGCAGATGACTTTTGGAGAAATCCTCTCCCAATTAAACCAAGGTGTAAGAGCATTAGTCTGAGGGATAGAAGCCCTAAACAAGAAATTGATTGTAACAAAATTAAGGTGTTGTGGTGGTCTTAATAACCCTCCAGAGGTTGATAGGACTAAAGTATACTTGCTGGTTGGTCAGTAAGGTGTTGTGGTGGTCTTAATAACCCTCCAGAGGTTGATAGGACTAAAGTATACTTGCTGGTGGGTCAGTAAGGTGTTGTGGTGGTCTTAATAACCCTCCAGAGGTTGACAGGACTAAAGTATACTTGCTGGTTGGTCAGTAAGGTGTTGTGGTGGTCTTAATAACCCACCAGAGGTTGATAGGACTAAAGTATACTTGCTGGTTGGTCAGTAAGGTGTTGTGGTGGTCTTAATAACCCTCCAGAGGTTGATAGGACTAAAGTATACTTGCTGGTTGGTCAGTAAGGTGTTGTGGTGGTCTTAATAACCCACCAGAGGTTGATAGGACTAAAGTATACTTGCTGGTTGGTCAGTAAGGTGTTGTGGTGGTCTTAATAACCCTCCAGAGGTTGATAGGACTAAAGTATACTTGCTGGTTGGTCAGTAAGGTGTTGTGGTGGTCTTAATAACCCTCCAGAGGTTGATAGGACTAAAGTATACTTGCTGGCTGGTCAGTAAGGTGTTGTGGTGGTCTTAATAACCCTCCAGAGGTTGATAGGACTAAAGTATACTTGCTGGTTGGTCAGTAAGGTGTTGTGGAGGTCTTAATAACCCTCCAGAGGTTGATAGGACTAAAGTATACTTGCTGGTTGGTCAGTAAGGTGTTGAGGTGGCCTTAATAACCCTCCAGAGGTTGATAGGACTAAAGTATACTTGCTGGTTGGTCAGTAAGGTGTTGTGGTGGTCTTAATATCCCTCCAGTGGTTGGTAGGACTAAAGTATACTTGCTGGTTGGTCAGTAAGGTGTTGTGGTGGTCTTAATATCCCTCCAGTGGTTGGTAGGACTAAAGTATACTTGCTGGTTGGTCAGTAAGGTGTTGTGGTGGTCTTAATATCCCTCCAGTGGTTGGTAGGACTAAAGTATACCTGCTTGTTCATCAGTAAGCTGTTGTGGTGGCCTATACACAAACAGTTTTTGGGAAATTACACAAAGCCTTTGGATTACAGCTAAAGTCAGAGCCTCCCAGTACTGTGATATGACACATTACTCAGCCACACTCATAGGTAAGAAAATTAGATTATGTAAACTTCAAAGAAAAAAACATCTGTTTTACAAAATATATTTACATCATAATGTCGGCCTCACAGAGGCCAGCTTAGTGTAGGTGTTAGTGGGCGAGGTATTTAGGTGAGTTGTGAATTGTTGGTCCTTGAGGCCTCGTTATCCAAGGTGGTCTCTACTAGTGGTCTCAGACGCAGTGATCTGATCGTCACTCATCCTGCTGGCGTAGCAGTGAGTGGCCTCTGACGCAGCGATCTGATAGTCACTCATCCTGCTGGCACAGCATCCGGTTCTCTGATGTTCCATCCCAGCCTCCAGGCTCCTCGGCCTCTTGGCTCTCACAGTAGCCGGACTGTTCTGGTCTGAAGCAAAAGTTGAGTTAAGATTCAGGCAATGTTTGCCAAGAACACTGACTCCTGTTGCCCCTGAGGTCAAGCTTACACTGGCAGCCTCGGAAACCATTTCAGAAGAGAATTGCTTTGGGGCTTGTGGTACGACACTTAAGCTTGAAACTTTTCCCTTCCAATTTTCTTTTAAGCTGGACAACTGGTCTGTTGAGGACGAGTCGTAGCATTTTTGGGTGACGCGAACTCTTGCGGGACCGCTGAGCGTTCGAGTAACAGCCTTTTGGATGCCTGAGAACGACTTTGTGGTCGACGTATCCTGTGATTTTGGTGAATCACCTTCACTTCCAGATCTACTTAGAGTTCGGGCGAGGGATTTAATGGCGCCAGAGAGCTGGCTGGGAGCCGAAGAGTCGTGGCGATTTTGGGTGACGCGAACTCCTCCGGGACCGCTGAGAGTCCGAGCGATGGACTTGAGGGTGACAGCTGACCGTTGCTTCAGGAAGCCATAGATGCCTTCGTCAGTAGTCTTGGCTCCCGCCTCCAGGTCAGTAGCGCTATATGATGATGACTGAGATATCACTTGCAACAGTCTGAATGTGGAGAGAAACACAAGCTTTATATAAACATCATAACTCCTCCTACATTGTATAAACACCATAACTCCTCCTACATTATAAAGACCATAACTCCTCCTACAATATATAAACACAACACCACCTAATATATAAACCCAATGCCACCTACAATATAAACACAACACCAAATATAATATATAAACTCAATAACTACAAAATTATGGAAAAGTTTTAACTTTGAAAATAATTTAATTAGATCAAAGTGTTCAAAGACTATTTAATTATGAGAAAATCAAACTGAAAGTTGACTATGGAAATCGCCTCAAATAGTTGACTACAATGCAAATGACAATAAAGATTGACTTTGACAAAAGTAACGTCGATAGTGACTTACACGACAGTGACAACAATATTGACTTCCATGAAAGTGACAAAAACGTTTACATACTCGACAGTGACAAAAAGGTTTACATACTCGACAGTGACAATAAAGGTTTACATACTCGACAGTGACAATAAAGGTTTACATACTCGACAGTGACAACAATATTGACTTACATGAAAGTGACAAAAAGGTTTACATACTCGACAGTGACAAAAAGGTTTACATACTCGACAGTGACAAAAAGGTTTACATACTCGACAGTGACAATAAAGGTTTACATACTCGACAGTGACAACAATATTGACTTCAATGAAAGTGACAAAAAGGTTTACATACTCGACAGTGACAATAAAGGTTTACATACTCGACAGTGACAATAAAGGTTTACATACTCGACAGTGACAACAATATTGACTTACATGAAAGTGACCATGATGATGACGTTGAGACTGGCAGCAAAGAAGAACTGGGCAGCGGGGAAGGTGTCGACAGTGTTGTAGTAGAGAGGAGAGTAGACGGCGTAGCCCATCATGGGCATCAGTCCGTTGAGGGCCGCCATCACCGCGTTGATGCGACCTGATCAACATCAATCATCAATCACCAGTTGTGATGTAAAATGGATAAAAATGATGACCCAAAATAAATGCATATATAAACTGACTACATCTTTAGCACAGTAGTCTACGTCCACGACAAACAATGGAGTGGACCGGGATCTATCCCACGACACGGTCGCAACAGTTTGCTATGTTTCCTTCCACCTCATGCTTATGTTCACCTAACAGATAAATGCGTAAAGAAGAGTTAGTCAACTGTTGTGGGTTGCATCTTGGAGAACGTCTGTAGTAAGAGTTTGATAAGCCTGAACACAGGCTTTACTGTTCCTGAGAATATGAATTAAAACTCCCCGGCAAGAGTTATGTTTACGATATAAACGTTGATATAATATGTAAATGAACATTAATAAAGTAATTTACTAAGAATTATATTTATACATGGATGTTACTGGCACATATAAATAGACTGTAAGGCGGGCATGTGTGGCGGAGTAACACACGGAAGAAGGCAGGTCAGTTGTCTCACCTTTCTCCTTGCTGCCGACCAGTTTGGTGGACATGGACTTGAAGGAGATGACCATGGCATTAGAGATAAGACCAGCCGGGGGCCCCAGCCACATGAGGAAGGCTTGAGGGGGCCCGCTGACCAGCCCATAACACACGTACTCTCCGATCATAGACAGCGTCCCCACCACCACCAGGGAAGCGTCAGTGAACGACAGCAGCCGCGTCAGGAACGGCACCAGGAACAGCGAACCTGGAGGTGGCCCGAACCTCAGGTTAGATAAGGAACAGCAGGTATGTGAATGATAAGGAACCTTATCATTCACTTATCTCTAACTTGACACAATTATATATATGATGGGAGCATATAAGAGACAGGTCAGTAGTGGAAGACTTACCAAGAGCAGCCAGCAGGTTGCGGTAAGTGATCCAGTAGCCGTAGTAAGTAGCGTCCCAGTGAAGGGCCCGACGCAGAAACATGTACATGAAGAACCCTGAAACACAATGTAAGTCATCACCACTTTGTCACGCCACGCACCACTTTCTATACCACAAACAAATCAACGCAACTTGGGATTGATGTTTCCACACATTCTGAGAAAAGTATCAATTTGATTCCTGCAAGAGTTAAAATGAAATATAAAATGCACTTGCCTCTGGCCATGCGTCGGATCATGTTGGCAGCCATCACAGCCATGAGGACAATCCTGTCGTTGCCTTCACGCTTCTTGAACGCTGTCTTGAAGGACTCCACAACGCGTCTCCAGTTGAAGAAGTCCACCACCATAGTTGTGACTGTCACGTCCTTCGCCTGTAAGCTGGACGCGTCCTTGATGGAGCCTTGAGCTTGAAGCTCCTTCTTGGCGAAGGGTCCGTGACTCTCCTTGATGAAGACCACCACGTAAAGAGCTGTGAGGAAGTAGGCAATCAGGACGAGGCCCAGAGCCAAGTCATAGCCGCTGTATTTGATGATCAGAGCGCCAATCAGAGTACCAATAGGACCACCCAAGAACCACACAGAGTTGGCAGTGCTGATGCGAGACGTGCGCTGAGCTTCCTTGCTGATGTCACTGATGTAGCTGATGGTAGAGGACAGGAGGCCGGCATTAGCGCCTCCCAAGGCCTCGAGGAACGTTACAAAGTAGATCACCTCCACCGGCCAGCTGGTCTGCCAGTTGGCCAGCAGGTAACCCCCAGCGTACAGCACGTGACCCGCCAGCGTCATCAATATTGGAATCTGTCAGAAACATCAGAGTAAGAAGTCCACCTCTGAGGCTCCTAGCAACATGGGCATGTGCCTCTCAAAATTGATCAAACAAGCCATTATAAATGTTTTTATTTTGAGTAAATAAATAATGTTAATAAATTTCCCTTAATTATGATACAACAGAGTTAGACGTCTTTGTGAAACTTTAGGCAAATAAACCTTATGAATAGAGGTCAAATAGACCTATTTGTAAACGATTATTTAACAGCCAATCAGCGAGGTGTTTGACTACCAATACATCTTTTACATTTTCTTCGACAATCATCATTATGTTCTAAATGTTTATACATATATAGATATGTGTGAAATAAAGCGTTTATACACATATACGTAATGCAAGCAACCATTACTAATAGATATAGACAAACTAGGAATTTACAGCTGTGGAGGAGATGGAGAGATAGCAACTTGACGTCCACAGCTGTAGAGGAGATAAATACATTAACTAGACGTCTACAGGTGTCGAGAAGAGACAGACATCAACTAACCATTCACAGGTGTAGAGGAGAGAGAGAAAGACATCAACTAGACGTCCACAGGTGTGGAGGAGAGAGAGAGAGAGAGAGACGTCAACAAGACGTCCACAGGTGTGGAGGAGAGAGAGAGAGACGTCAACAAGACGTCCACAGGTGTGGAGGAGAGAGAGAGACGTCAACTAGACGTCCAAAACTGACCTTCCGTCCATACTTGTCACTCCAGGCTCCCATGAAGAGGACAAAGACGAGAGGCAACACAGACAAGATGATGCTGTTGTAGAAGGTGAAGACTGAGAACTCTCGCTGGACGCGCACACTCTCCTCCGGATGAGCCGACAAGTTGGCGCATACCTGAGGGCATCACATGGTATTATCTCACACACCTGGGGCATCACATGGTCATATCTCACACACCTGGGGCATCACATGGTATTATCTCACACACCTGGGGCATCACATGGTCATATCTCACACACCTGGGGCATCACATGGTCATATCTCACACACCTGGGGCATCCCATGGCCATATCTCACACACCTGGGGCATCACATGGCCATATCTCACACACCTGGGGCATCACATGGCCATATCTCAGAGTTAGGTGTCTGGGAATCACCAGAACGCCGGTTCAAGTCACCCTATTGCCCCAAAATGATTTTCTCATTGATATATAATACCATTGTGATTTCTTTGGGATCTGAATGAGAGGAACAAGGATGGGAATACCATTACCCATAGGCCAAAGTGTCGGAGGGCTAGTCGCAAAATCTGGGTTGGCCACCAATTTGGGCTTCCACAACCTCCCAGTGAGTTCAGTAGAATTCAGGTTGGTCGACTTTTGTCCTATCGTGGCTGAGTGGGTTGAGGATACACCCTATTTGTCGCACTCTGCGTAATTCTGGCCTGCAGGTGAATGCTGCGAAGTGTCATGCTTTAATACATGTTAGTGGATGCGCATCGGAAGACATGGTTTGTCCCCACCCAGCGGGACTATCATGTCAGAGGCGATGACATTGACACTATGAGAGTGGCGGACGAGTACAAGTACTTAGGCATATTCACCGGGGCAGGAGGCTGACGCTTGTCCTATGGTTCCCTGTGTGGGGAGGGTCTAATCACCATCACCAAGGGCCCCCTCAGACCCAAACAGGGGCTACTTTGACACCACCTAATTCCCAAAATGAACCACCGGCTCGTTCTCGGACGTGTGTTTAAGACTGAGTTGACGCGGCTCAACAGGCGGTTGCGGCAGGGCGCTCGCGGCTGGCTTCGACTGCCCCATGATACCCCGAATGACTTCTTCCATGCTTACATGAAGGACGGCAGACTAGGAATTCCCGACTTTGCTGCATCAATCCGCCTACTGAAGAACAAGCGGTTCGGGGCGAGGGTTGAGTCGGAGGACCCATTGGTAACTGCAGAGGCTCTCCTGCCAGCATCCCGAGCCCGAAGACGCCTTGCCAGGAGTCTCCTCCTATGAACTTATTATCCATGTCTGGTGTTGTCAAGTCACCATACCTGCCGCTTAGGCAGCTTATTGCTTATACCTTCTGCCTTTGTTCTCTTTAATGATAGAGTGTGCACCCTTCCCTTTGTGTGTGCTGCTGTGCCTTATATAAGAACACAAGTACAAAAGATGCTTTTATTGAACTAACCATTATTATTTTTCATATTAGGTCCTATGAGTGAGACGTGCCAGCTAAGCATTTTTATTTATTTTAGTTTGTGTTATTAGGGAACTCTATGTGTGTACCCACGTCTCCCCATGCCCAGTGCTTTGGGGGAAATAAATAAATAAAATATATATATATATATATATATATATATATATATATATATATATATATATATATATATATATATATATATATATATATATATATATATATATAAAGTAGTTTCAATATCTAGTTAATAGAATCGATAATATTTCCAAGTCTAAACATTAAACTGCGTTAACAAAGTCAATTGACAAGAACGTTACTTACGTGTGAGGGTAATCCCAAGTTGACGGAGCATATCTTGTTCATCTGAACATTCTCGATGAAGAGGAGCATGGCCTCTTTGCACGCTCCGTCGACGAGCATGACAGGTTCCACAGTAATGGCCCTCAGTGCCGTCATTATAGTTCCGGCCATCCTGCTGTGTTGATCTTGATCCTCCACAGCACTCACTAGTTACTGCTGGGTCAGCTGTCTCCCTCTACCAAAACTCGCTAGTTACTGCTGGGTCAGCTGTCTCCCAGCCCTCCGTAGGACAAGGTAGCCCAAATGAATATTGGATCATCAATGATAACGACGCTACGATTCCTGTGACTATATACACACCGTCGCCGTGTCCACGAAGGGGAAATGGGGACGATCCCGCTGTCCCCTTCAGCCTGCCTCTGACGTAGGCTGGCAGGCATTTTCCGAGTGCCAGGTCCGAGGTACTTGCCTCACTTGCCTTAACGAGTCATGCTTAGAAGCAACTTTTTAGTGTTCAATTTGCCCTTTGATATTAAGTAATATTGTTTTTGTGGTATTTGATTATATCTAGAGAGAGACAGAAAGGCAGAGGGAGGCAGATAGCTAGCTCTCTGTCTAGAGAGCTAGATAAAGTGACAGAGACTCAGGCAGAGAGAGAAAGAGAGCTAGACAGAGACACAGAGCAATACAACTAGACAGAATGACAGACAGCTGGACGGAGATAAAGAGAGCTAGACAGGGAGACAGACAGCTAGACAGAGACTAACAAATTTGTCAGCTTTTCTGACCCTATGTCTCTGTTCACCGTGCAGTACGTAGGGCCCTGAATGTTAGAAAGTTGTTGTGAACTGTTTCCTCGGAAGGTCAGTAGTTTGCCTCGTTATATATGCTCATACGCCCGCGCACGCGAGTGCACAGCGCTCCGGGGTCACATAGTCTACCGGGTTCGATTCCCGGTAGAGGCAGATACAAGTGGTCAGAGTTTCTATCGCCTCATGCCTCGGTTCACCTAGTATTTGTGTGTGTGTGTGAGTTAACATCTCGATCCTGCAGGTACAAATAATAAGTAAATACACACACACACACACACACACACACACACACACACACACACACACACACACACACACACACACACACACACACACACACACACACACACACACACACACACACGCAGATAGAGCCCAGTCGGCTCAGGAATCTGTCCACCAGTTGATTAACAGTTGAGAGGTGGTACCAAAGAGCCAGAGCTCAACCCCCGCATGCACAACTCGGTGAGTACACACACACACACACACACACACTGAGCACGCGATAAACATACTCCCCATGTGACAAACCCAGGGGAGGATTGACTGGGAACTAATCCTTGACACTGTCCACCTAACAGTAGTTGTGCACTTTGTTATAAACTGATTGACGGATCGTGTTCCAGGGAAAACTGGCAGGTAAGGCTCACACTGATCTAGAGTGGCAAACTTAGAGCCAATTAACAAGATTCAAGAGGTGTCTACTCCTGTTCTCTCCTGTGGAGAGAGAGTTCTTTCAATGTTTAAACCGAAGGAAACATCACAAACATCAAAGGTGATAAATATATTGTTTAAATGTCATTATTTATACAACACAATTTGATCCATTTACAAACATCAAGGACAACATAGACAGAAAATATTTAGAAGCAAATAGAAGAAAATAATGAGAAATATGTTGTTTGGCAACTTGTGGATCAGAGCTTAGAGTTGACCTTTAGGGCACGTGGTGGTCAGCACGTCAGCACGTGGGAGGAGCAGGGGCACCTCCACGTGATCACTCTCGGGGCCTCTATAAAGCCAAGGAGGTCGGCACCTCCAACTGCACTTCAAGCCCAGCACTCCTCTGGTCTACAGGCGAGACCAGCGATCACCTTGTTGTTACTGCTGACCCAGCAGTAGCTAGCGAGTGTTGATGGAGGGAGACAGCTGACCCAGCAGTAGCTAGCGAGTGTTGGTGGAGGGAGACAGCTGACCCAGCAGTAACTAGCGAGTGTTGGTGGAGGGAGACAGCTGACCCAGCAGTAACTAGTGAGTGTTGGTGGAGGGAGACAGCTGCCCCAGCAGTAACTAGCGAGTGTTGGTGAAGGGAGACAGCTGACCCAGCAGTAACTAGCGAGTGTTGGTGGAGGGAGACTGCTGACCCAGCAGTAACTAGCGAGTGTTGGTGGAGGGAGACAGCTGACCCAGCAGTAACTAGCGAGTGTTGGTGGAGGGAGACAGCTGACCCAGCAGTAACTAGCAAGTGTTGGTGGAGGGAGACAGCTGACCCAGCAGTAACTAGTGAGTGTTGGTGGAGGGAGACAGCTGACCCAGCAGTAACTAGCGAGTGCTGTGGAGGAGCAAGACCAACACAGCAGGATGGCCGGAACTATAATGACGGCACTGAGGGCCATTACTGTGGAACCAGTCATGCTCGTCGACGGAGCGTGCAAAGAGGCCATGCTCCTCTTCATCGAGAATGTTCAGATGAACAAGATATGCTCCGTCAACTTGGGATTACCCTCACACGTAAGTAAAGTCGTTGTAAATTGACTTTGTTAACGCAGTTAAATTTTTAGACTTGGAAATATTATTGAAAACACTTACTAGATATGACCATGTTATGCCCCAGGTGTGTAAGATAATACCATGTGATGCCCCAGGTGTGTGAGATAATACCATGTGATGCCCCAGGTGTGTGAGATAATACCATGTGATGCCCCAGGTGTGTGAGATAATACCATTTGATGCCCCAGGTGTGTGAGATAATACCATGTGATGCCCCAGGTGTGTGAGATAATACCATTTGATGCCCCAGGTGTGTGAGATAATACTTTGTGATGCCCCAGGTGTGTGAGATATGACCATGTGATGCCCCAGGTGTGTGAGATAATACTATGTGATGCTCCAGGTGTGTGAGATAATACCATGTGATGCCCCAGGTGTGTGAGATAATACCATGTGATGCCCCAGGTGTGTGAGATAATACCATTTGATGCCCCAGGTGTGTGAGATATGACCATGTGATGCCCCAGGTGTGTGAGATAATACTATGTGATGCCCCAGGTGTGTGAGATAATACTATGTGATGCTCCAGGTGTGTGAGATATGACCATGTGATGCCCCAGGTGTGTGAGGTAATACCATGTGATGCCCCAGCTGTGTGAGATAATACTATGTGATGCTCCAGGTGTGTGAGATATGACCATGTGATGCCCCAGGTGTGTGAGATATGACCATGTGATGCTCCAGGTGTGTGAGATATGACCATGTGATGCCCCAGGTGTGTGAGATATGACCATGTGATGCCCCAGGTGTGTGCGATATGACCATTTGATGCCCCAGGTGTGTGAGATATGACCATGTGATGCCCCAGGTGTGTGAGATAATACCATGTGATGCCCCAGGTGTGTGAGATATAACAATGTGATGCCCCAGGTGTGTGAGATATGACCATGTTATGTCCCAGGTGTGTGAGATATGACCATGTTATGCCCCAGGTGTGTGAGATAATACCATGTGATGCCCCAGGTGTGTGAGATATGACCATGTGATGCCCCAGGTGTGTGAGATATGACCATGTGATGCCCCAGGTGTGTGAGGTAATACCATGTGATGCCCTCAGGTATGCGCCAACTTGTCGGCTCATCCGGAGGAGAGTGTGCGCGTCCAGCGAGAGTTCTCAGTCTTCACCTTCTACAACAGCATCATCTTGTCTGTGTTGCCTCTCGTCTTTGTCCTCTTCATGGGAGCCTGGAGTGACAAGTATGGACGGAAGGTCAGTTTTGGACGTCTTGTTGACGTCTCTCTCTCTCCTCCACACCTGTGGACGTCTTGTAGACGTCTCTCTCTCTCTCTCTCCTCCACACCTATGGACATCTTGTTGACGTCTCCTCCACACCTGTGGACGTCTTGTTGACGTCTCTCTCTCTCTCTCCTCCACACCTGTGGACGTCTTGTTGACGTCTCTCCTTCTCCTCTACACCTGTGGACGTCATGTTGATGTCTCTCCCTCTCTCCCTCTCTCTCCATCACATCTGTGTACGTATGGTCGATGTCTCTCCATGTCCTCCACAGCTGTGAATGCCTACTTTTTGTTTATCTTCTTCTTGAGAATAGGTGCAGTTTGCATGAAGGGTTTACCCTCCCGATGACTGCACCAGGACAGATGTTGGGAGACAGACGCGTTGACGTTGAGGAGGATTAGACTGCCAAAAGCACTAGTCGCGTCGTGCCGTAGGGAGAGGAGCGGCGACTAAAACAGAAGTGGATGGTGGAGTGAGACTTGCCACACGGTAGGGCGGGATGTCGAGTTTATGGCGGCAGCTGATCCATGGCGTACCGTTGTGCGCAAGACGTCTACTAAATTTTTCGTGGAAACTTGTATATCAGAAAACGCAAGCAGTAAGCTTCCCAAATCATCAACGTGTCAAAGGACACCCGGCCACCAGGCGGCGCCTTTGGGTGAGACATTCTATATCTTGAGATGAGATCTATCTTGATATGATTTCGGGGCTTTTAGTGTCCCCGCGGCCCGGTCCTCGACCAGGCCACCACCCCCAGGAAGCAGCCCGTGTCAGCTGACTAACCCCCAGGTACCTATTTTACCGTTTGGACGGAAGGTCCAAGGGTCCTATCCGGCACCCTATAAACCAACTCCTTCACCCGCGACACCCAGACAGTGGACGAGCACCACGGGATCGGAAGCATCCGGGCATCCCGATAAGGGCCGAACACCCGACCCTTACTGGACACGACCCCGGCTGCTGGGACAAGGCTTCCCCCAGACCGGGGCAACGAAGGAGGGGGAACCGCAGGGGATGCAGGCGCGGCATCCACCCCGCCACTGGGCACAGGAGCCGAGGCCCCTCCCCACCTCGCTGATTGTGAAGTCGAACACCTCGAAAATTGTCAGGTCAAGCACCTCACTGATTGGCTGTTATCAAAGCCTTAAACAATCGTTTACAACTAATATATTCATGAGATCTATTTGTATTAAGTTTCACAAAGACGTATAATTCTGTTGTATCATAATTAAGGGAAATTTATTAACATTATTTATATACTCAAAATAAAAACATTTATAATAGCTTGTTTGATCAATTTTGAGAGGCACATGCCCATGTTGCTAGGAGCCTCAGAGGTGGACTTCTTACTCTGATGTTTCTGACAGATTCCAATATTAATG